TGCACTTGTGACTTGCTTTTCCGTTTGTCACTGTTTAAAGATGTCAGCTGGAGTTACTTAATGTTACTCACTTGGACTTTATTATTTACATATTTTAAGAGTCATCTACATTACAAAAGATAGTTTTAAATTGATTTATTGAACTAAATCTGAATTACTATTAATGCTTAATCTCAACTTCACTAATTATAATTTGGCTCTATTTCAGTTCTTCTTATTATCCTCTATCTTGATTTTTGTACTAGTTGTGAATTTTATTTTCTATATTTTATGAGGCTCTGACATCTTGGGCTGCCCCTCCCAAAGCTAGATAATTGATAACAATAGCAAATACTTTACCCAAAGCATGCTTTTGGCATACAAATCAGCCTATCTATGGCCATTGATCACCTCTTTTAGTAAATTCCCACATACCAAGTCCATCTTCTTGCTGTATATCCAACCAGGGCCAGGTGCGTGAACAGTTAGTGGCCCAGAGATCTTTGCAGCTAGTTAAACTTTTCCATCCTAAGCTCACAAAGTCTGCCTTTCCTGTCCTAGTCATCCCTTTGCATAAAACTCCGGCAAAGGCCTGGCTCTCTGCTTTTCCTTTCCCATCACTGTCCTGGACTGTGGTGGCACCGTGAGTTGCCCATCGTGTCATGTTATGGATGGCCCCTCCTGTGGGAACCGGCCTTGTCCTTTTTTGGAGTCTGTTGAATGGCAACCTGATCTGTGACATTCGCTGTATCTGAATGAAAACAAAATTATGGCTGAATTTTGAAACACCTGGATTTTGAGTTAGAATATTGATGGTCATTGTTACCTACCCTGATATCTTGGCTTCACTCGTCTGTGATGTAGTTGTCATAGTAAATATGATTTTCAGCTTGATTTCCAAATGCCCTTGATATTTACATGTCTCTTCAAAATGAAGTGGAAGGCAAAACTGATCATCAGACTTTCACTGTGAACCTCTCTTGCCCCAAATCTCAAATTAATAATTCCCAATGATTATGTCTTTCTCTCCTAGGCTAAAATAAAATTCTGAGCATTCAGTGTTACAGTGTGTTATAACAGAAAAGGGGAGTGACTTAGGCATAGTTAACTACTGAATAGGCTTCTTCTGTTGAATTCCTCACCACTTGTGCACAGATATCTTTTAAAACTAACAAACAATAATTGTAGGCGTTTATGGAGTCCAGTAAAGAACGTGACACGTGCAAGTGATTTGTAATGATTATGTCTAGTTGCTAGCATCTCATCTTCTTAGACATCAGTTCTTTTTCTTGGGAGAATTAGAACCATTGTCTTCTAGTTCTTTATGAAACATGTAATGAATTGATGTGAACTGCTACTGTGCTGTGGATAACCAGAGTTGATTCCTCCTTTGTAGCTGTATTTGTCTCCTTTTATCTAGCTTCTCTCTTCTTCCTAGACACCCCTTTTCATCTCTAGTGAACACCATTTCACTTTGTTTTTTTGAAAGATCAACTTGTTTTTAAAGTTTCTACTATGAAAGAGAACATGAAGTATTGGTTTTCTGTGTCTGGCTTATTTCGCTTAATATAAAGTCCCCCAAATATGTCTGCTGTAGTACAAAGTATAGTATTTCATTCTTTTTAAAGACAGTAATATTTGATTGTAACTCTACTTGTGGACACTTCTGTTGGTTCCATTTCCTTGATATTGTGAGTAGTATGCATGTTTTTTGGCTTATCATCCTTAACTATAGCTGATGTGCCCTTGTAGACTTTTCACATTAAAATTTATTCATAATTTTATTAGAGCAATTTTGCTGAAAATTGCCCAAAAACATTCCCTCTGAATTAATTTGCTTTTCTGTCAAGTACTTGAATGGAATAAAGTGATGTTCAAATAAAAAACTTTATAGAGACTGGAGAGAAGGCCCTGTAGTTAAGAGCATTGACTATTCTTGCAGAGGACCCACCCAGGTTTGGTTCCCAGCACTCACAGGGTGGTTTACAACCATCTGTAACTCCAGTTCTAGGGGCTCTGGTGCCCCCTTTTTACCTCTAAGGGTACCAGGCATGCACATGCTGCACACACACATACATGCAGGCAAAACACTTAAACACACAAAATAAATAAGTTAAAAAAAAAAAAAGAATTGCAGTCTTCTGTCAATGGCTATGTGACGCAATAGCAAGACCTCCACTAGAGGGCGAGCTTTGCCCAGCAAATGTGATAGTAAACGTTTCCAGAACAGGAAATTTTTGTTACTTTTCAACACTGAAATAAGAAGTAAAGGATATTATTTATCAATTTAATCTTTATGTTTGACCTGTATTTGATTTAAATTAGAAGTGAAATTTAAAAAAATTTAACTTATTTTAGGCAAATAGATCTATCTTTTAATGATGTGTGTTCTTTTTTACTTTAAAAAAAATGGTATTGAGGATAGGACTTAGGGATTTGCATCTGCCTAGAAAGTCCCAACCACTGATTAATATCAAAATCTTTGATTTCATGTTTTATTTTGAGATAGGGCTTCTCTAACGCACCCAGGATCACCTCAAATTCACTGTAGCCCAGGCAGGCTGAAAACTTACGATAGATAGTCCTGCTTCAATTTCCTGAGTTGCTAGGATTACTGGCCTGCATTACCAGGCCAGGGGGGTGTTTGTTTTTATTAATTAAAATATATTATTATTATTATTATTATTATTATTTGATTGTATGTGGGTGTTTTGTCTGCAGTATGTCTGCACACCAGATAGGGAATTGAGTGCTGAAGTTCTGCCTGAGAGAGAATTTCTAGGAATTTATTCATTTAGGGTTTCTAAAGTTACTTTAATATGATATCAAAGAGCCTTTTATGTACACATATTAACAGTTATTTTTATATCTCCCGTTCTCCAGGCTCACCCTGTGATCCCACCTTCATCCTGGGCTGCGCTCCATGCAATGTCATCTGCTCCATTATTTTCCAGAATCGTTTTGATTATAAAGATCGGGAATTTCTTAACTTGATGGAAAAATTTAATGAAAACTTCAGACTCTTGAGCACCCCATGGATACAGGTGAGGTCAAAAGGCTTCCTTCCTAAGGAGCCATCTGGGCTCTTTCCTTTGAGAAGTCCACAGCATTATAGGGACTGAGCTGTGGCATAAATGTTTCCAGACTGTACATTTTAGAGATGTGAGGTGCAGTTCTTCTTTTTTTTTTTTTTAAAACAAAACAAAACAAAACAAAACAAAACAAAACAAAACAAAACAAAATGTATTCTTCAGCTCTGTGTGTACTGTGCATGAGGGTGGGGTGGGTACAGGTGCCTGCAGAGGCCAGAACAGGGTGTTGGATCCCTTGGAGCTGGAGTTATGGGTGGTCGTAAGCTGCTGAATGTAAGTTCTGGGAACCAAATTCCAGTCCTCCAGCATGAGCATGTTCTCTTAACTACTGAGCCATATCTCCAGCTGTTGGGGCTATAGGGTTTTAATTTTTCCTTTGTACCTTTTGTGTTCCATAGGCAAAAAGTATTTGCTTAGTAACATTTCTAAGCTGTTTCTGTGAAGCTTGTGTTCTTTGTCATGCTTGTCCTCCAAAGTCTCTGCCTTCTTTCGTTTCTGACAGAAATTGCTTTACTGTGAGAGTTATAGATGACAAAGAGGTGGAGAAGAGAGATGAAGAAGAGGTGGAAGGGAGAAGGCTGTAGGGCAGAGATACAAAATGAAGAAAGGAAAGAAAGCCAAAGATGTGAAGTGGGAACGAAAAGTAGAAGAGACAGGGAGGAGAAATCTCACTAGACTGGCTCTGTGCCGGGCACTCAGGCCCAGGGCCCAGGACCCAGCAGAAGGAAAAGCTTGGGTTTTTTGGGGGGGTGGGTTTGGTTATTTTTTTTCCAGGGCTTTTTCTAACTTGTGCTTGTCATGGGCATTCTCTGGCATTTTAAATACATCAGTATATGTGGATGATTTTTTTTGTTTGTTTGTTTTGGTTTTTTTTTTGAGACAGGGTTTCTCTGTGTAGCTTTTGGAGCCTGTCCTGGGTCTCACTCTGTAGACCAGGCTGGCCTTGAACTCACAGAGATCTGTCTGCCGCTGCCTCCCGAGTGCTGGGATTAAAGGCGTGCGCCACCACCGCTTGGCATGTGGATGCTTTTGAGTGGCCTGATTTCCCAAAGATACTCTCTCTCCAGCTCTTCTTCCCATGGTCTCCGTGTTCTGCCAGGAGCTTCAATTGCATTCTTTTGCTCCAGGTGGCCCTGTGTTGCCTAGTGGCATTGTAAGCTTTTATGATAGTCTTTATTACAACTTTTCCACCCCGAGGAGTTCTGACTTAGGTGAAACAAAGACAAAGTGCTATACCCAGTCCTTCAGCTTCCCCTACCCTGTTAGGTGAAGACAGAGAAACAGTTCACTCCCCCCAACCCCCACCGCTGCCGACTCCCCTGGAATCAAGAGCCATAGTTCTGTCCACTGGGAACAGGGCTCTTGTTAAGGATGCCACTAAGACAGGGCAGAGGTGACATCAGGGCAAAACAATACTATAATGCTTTCCTATCCCCGCCATTAAAAACTCTCAGCTTATCATTGGTTTATGTAAACATGACTATTTTCCACAATTATAACAAAGTTGTTTTAGACAGTTTTGATTGTGTGTGTGTGTGTGTGTGTGTGTGTGTGTGTGTGTGTGTGTGTGTGTGTGTGTTTAGAGGGATGGGCCCTGCCTACCCGCAAAGAGAATGTTTTCACATCACCGTCATCTTGGGATACCATGAATGTCTCAGAAAGACGGCAGAGCACTTTATTCTTCAGAACAGAACAGAAGACAGATGGCTGGACACAGGGTTGCAAGCCAAACCACAACCCACCAAACCAGAGTCCAGGCAGCACTTTGGTACCACCAGAGGCTGTCTAGGGACTTGGTGAAAACCTTCCACCACCCACAGGCTTGTCTGCCAATCAAAAATTAGAGTCATTTTCATCCCATTACTTAACAGTTATTTTCTAATTGAGGATACCAAAGACAGAGAATGGGAGCACAGATTGCTGCCAGGAACCTCTGAGAACTGGGGGTTCTGGACCAAAGACTCAGAGGCCATCTAAAGCTGGATCTCTAGCTGAGGAAGTAATGAGAATCAGGATATTAAGATGATTGGCATTTGGAGTGTATAAAACATAATTCTCTGTTGGACTGTCCTGGTCAATTACATCACCATCTATCAAGCTGGTATCACTCTGTATAGAAGGTAGTTATGTGATTTTATAGCAGTCATTTGACCACTGCTGTGTATAAGTATTTGTCCATAAAATGCAGAGTTGAGTTTCATATCTTTGAGCCGTTCCCAGTTATAAAACATGATTTTATTACTGAGGCCAACTGTTAATGGTAGAAATATCATGGAGTGACTCTGCTCTGTTTCATGTTGACTGAACTTCCTTGACCTCTTAGCTTACTTCATGCAGATAAGACATGGTCTTCCTGTATTTCACAGTTGTAGGTAAAAAAGAGAGAGTGGACATAAAGGTGCTTTGGTAATATAAAAATTATTGACTTGGATGTTGGAGATCTTGTCAATCTGGTCATGTGATCAGTTTAATGGAGACTCTATTAGCACTTCCGTTTATACAATCATGTACACTGAAATGTTTCTCCTCAAGTTCACCCTAGTTCTTTTTTTAATTATTCTCTTATGTATTACATCCTGACCACAGTT